GCCCATGTCGTGGAGGATGCGTATTAGGATTGCATCTTGCACAAATCAGACAATGTTGGATAAATTGTCGAACCCATTTTTCCAGTCCTATGGTATAAAACAATCAAGAGATGTAATCAGTCACGGCTGTATAACTAGCATTTGTAACCCCATGAACAAAAGCTATGAGTGGATCATATGCTAGTTCCGGGAGGGCAATTCTTTGATCTTGATACTTCCACAAGTCATCCACGTCTTTGTAACAACCCCCCTTTTGCCATCTTTTAATCTCATAAGGAGAGGCTTGATTTTGAAGTGAAACAAGATCATCCACCGTATAGGGAGGATCAGAGAGTTGGAGAGAGGGGAAATGAGAGACCTTACAAGAAAAGAGGGGTGCATTAAGGGCCGCATCTTTAGCATATTTGTCAGCTAAATTATTACCCAGAGCAACTTCCTTATCAGATTTCGCATGGCCTGTACATTTTACAACTGCGATTTGATCCGGCAAAATCATGGCTGCAAGCAATTCTTTAACTAGATCGGCGTGTTGAATTGGCTTACCAGCAGTGGTGACAAATCCTCTGTTCTCCCAGATTTTACTGAAATCATGTGCCACAGAAAAAGAATATTTAGAATCAGTATGGTTACACTCTTATCCTTGGCAATTTGGCAGGCTCTAGTTAAAGCTACCAACTCTGCTGCCTGAACAGAAGAAACTGGTAATTTGTAGGATTCTAGGCAATGGCCTTGATCATCTACAATAGCATAACCTGCAAGGGTAGTTGAATCATCTGGTTTCATTGCAGATCCATCAAAATAGAGGACTAACTCACCATTCTCCAGTGGTTTCTGTTGCAAGTCCATTCTTACACTAGATGTTGAATTGATAAGGTCCATGCAATCATGTTCTGTAACATCATCTATCTCCTTATCTCTGTGCAATAAGGACTTCAGATGTATGGCAGGGTTAGTATGAGTTGCTGTAGAGATGGTCAGATTTTGTGTTCCCGTCAAAATATGTTCATAATTGCTTCTTCTCTGACTCGTCATATGTTGGGTTGTTATGTTAAGAAGGATAACACTGACCATATGCGTGGTGTGAAGGGTCAAAGGATATCCTAAAACTATAGTCTGTGCTTTCTCAACCATCATTGCTGCAGCAGCCACGGCTCGTAAGCATGGGACCATGCCCTGTACAATCAAGGGAAGGGATTTGGAAAAATATGCCACTGGTCTCATTCGTTCACCATGCATTTGTGCTAAAACTGCAGAGGTGACTTCCCCATTGTCTGACACATATAGATGGAAGTCAACGTTATGGTCCGGAAGCCCCAACACTGGGACTGAGCACAAAAGATACTTAATATGACGAAAGGCATGTCTCATATCCTCAGTCCAGTTTATTGCATCCGGTGCATCTTGGAGAGTTGATCTTCTTACCACAGAGTCAAAAAGGGCATAATCCGCAAGCCAGGGTCGACAATAGTTCACCAATCCCAAAAAGGATAACATCTCAGTTTTCGTCCGGGTCTTTGAATGTCCATAATGGCTGATACCCGTTTCGGAGATAAATACCTGCACCCCGCTCACAGAACATATCCCAGGTAGTTGACAGATTCCTGACAGAATTGGAGCTTTGCAAGTGATGCTCTGTGACCTCCGTTAGCAAGATGTGTCAATAAGGCCACAGAATCTTGAATGCATTCTCCTTCAGTCTCTGAGCAAAGAAGTAGGTCATCCGAATACAGGATTGACATGGCAAGCTTAACTGAGACAAGTGCATATTAACAGCGGCTGAATACACAACAGCTGAATCAACAAATCCCATAGACAATCTAGTCCAAACGTATTGATCATTTTTATACGTAAATGCAAATAAATCCTGCGTATCTTCATGTAGAGGGATTGAAAAATAGGCAGAGCATAAATCAATCGCCGTATAGAATTTTGAATTTGCGAACAAAGCTGTTAGAATGGAGTTGACATCAGGCACTACAGAGGCAATCAGAATTATTGCTTTGTTAATTATCCGCAAATCTTGTGTGAAACTATACCTGTTAGTTCCAGGTTTAAGAATAGGATTTATTGGGGTGTTGTTTTGGGAGCATCGTTTAACTATCACCCCTTGTTCCAAAAGACTTTTGATTATACCTTCTTATAACTTCTTCTTTTTCTTTAGATAGAGGATACTGTTTAACAAACACTGGATATTTTTAGGATTAATTTTGGCCTGATTTGGTGGCACATTCAATAATCCTACATGATTTGCATGCAAAGCCCAAAGTTTAGAAGGTACGGCCGCTAAGATCGAAGGTGGTTGCAACAGGATTTCTTAATGATCCACTGGAGAAATCAAGGGTCTGTCCTCCGTTTTCAAAAGTTTGATAAAGAAATGTGTAGGTTCCGAACTATAAGATCAGATGATATAATCCTTGTTTTGATCAATTTTGTCAGGTGTCCTATTTAGATAGTCTTGACAGGAAATCAAAAGATGGTCAATATCCCCAAAATCAGTTCGAACGGCACAGATAAAAAAATGAATAACCTGTTTCTTGTTCCTCCATAAGGGTACATAACCATTTGGAGACATAAAAACACGCTGTGGAAATTCCTCCAAGCCAGTAGGTTCAATTACTTCATCAGAAAAGGGCATATTAACGAATTTTAAATGTATGATCAACACTGCACTAGCAGCCTGACAAGATGCCAATTTTTTGATATTTGTCAAAGTAAACAGGCCAGAGATAAAAATTCACAGTTTGTCAATACACTGGTGGCATTATGTGACACTCCAACAAGATGGGAGAATAGTTGATATGTCTTGTCTGCTGGAATATACTGTAAACCTCAATACCATCGGGTGAACACGTAATGACCGCATTTAATTTACTTTATATATTTCGTCCCAGTAATGACATCGGTGTTGTAGCACTAACAACAAATGAATGTTGCAGTTTGATGTTATCCAGATCAACAGGCAGTGGAACGGACAGGGGCTCTAGTTGTGGGACTCCAGAGATACCGACAGATTGAACAGAGAGATTACTCAAAGGGCAACTTAAGTCCTTTTTTCTTAAACATGATGTAGTTGCCCCAGTGTCAACTAGGAACTTAATAGGTTTACCAGAAATTTGCATACTCAACTGAGGTGTCTCAGCTGGTTCATTGGAAACATGGAATTGTGGAGTATCTATTATTATTGTAGAGTTTGTTCACGCCCCACAACTGTCGGTTATATCATTGCTTCCACAATGAAGAAGAAGCCGCCCCTCTGTCCGGAGGACCCTGGATTGTGGGATTACTTCCAAATATCATCCTCTGTGTATTGGTCTGTGGAGAGAACCAGAGGTCATCTGAGGAGGATAATAGGGAGGCATTTGATTTATAGGCCCATATTGTGAACCTTGGGCCCATTTTAAGGGACACTGTTTTACCCAATGTCCAACTTCATAACAGTACAGGCACCGATCATTCATGTCCATCATTCTTCCTCGTCCCCATCCTCTCCGCCCCGGTGGGAAAATATTCACCCTTCGGGTTGACCTGAAAAGTATCTGTTATGTACGGAGAGGGTTCAAATGGCCCTTGCTCTCTGTAACGTCTAAAATTTCCTCTGCCCCTGGTCGGTTGTACATGTTGGAATGCATTGACAGATTCTTTTACGTCGGTACTCAGTTGGACTGCTTGTGTTTTATTTTTGGATGCTGCAAAGAGGCCTATGGCATCAAGTTCTGTAACTTTCTTCAAAAGTCTATTAGGATCATAGGTATAAATATCGGGTGCAGTCACTCTAAGAGTGTACGAAGCATTTTGATCCAATCCGTGTCAAAACATAGAGGCAAAAAAGGGATCCTCTTCTTATTAAGAATTTAAGACCTGGGTAATGTCCCAGTCCTGTGCTGCATTTTTTTTTCAAGGAATTTAGTAAGTTCAGCAATATGCTCAGTTTTATGGTCTCTGCTTAACCAGGGATACTTTCCTTCAATGGTCTCCTCCCCTTCTACTGGCCCATCATATTGGTACCGTAAAGTGTCACATTCCGCAATTAGAGTATCTATCTTGATGTGAGGCATTAGTGTGGCAAGAATGTATCTAACATCTCGTCCGGACAGAGATGTATGCATTAATGCCGTGGTCAACCAATTCATAAATGCTGTAGGATTATTCAGCGGTGACGAAGCATCTCTAGTAATCCAAGAGATATCAGTGAGAGTCAATGGTTTATCCATTACACGATTATCGACAGTAATAAGTGGTGACATCAGATTTACATAATCTTTGACAGCGGAGAGGGTTCTCAGCTCACTGTCCTTCATTTCACTCAACTGATGCTCAAGGAATTCACAAACGGCCTGTGTCTCAACATCAGAAATTCTTGAAATAAAAGCATTAAACTGCCTGTTACTTATGGGCTTTGTTAAATTAAGTTCAGTCTTAGAGTCTGTCTCATATTGGCGTAAAACTGATTTGAAGCAGTCAACCAATGGCTTTGATAAATCATTGAGAGAGATATCATGACCTTTCTTTATTATTTTAAACATGTGCTTAAATTCACAAGACATGTATTCTCTGACATACTGTAGTTTGGCATTACAAGCTTTATCTTTGTCAAACATGAATTTTTTTTTACAATTTTGGAGGCATCGCTCAAGGCACTCATTCTGAAACTTTCTCATTGCAAGATTCGGCACCCCTACATCAGCAAACTAGACAGTGGGGCTTATTCTGGGCACCGAACCGGGCTGTTCATTTTCTTCCATCACATGGAGAAAGAGCCAACTGTCACCGTCATCACTGTCATCAGTTACATGTGCACTGGGGAGGGTCAAATGTGGAGGCAATGACTCTGGGGAATTACAAGACAGTGCAACAGGACGGTCACCTTTTCCAGGTTGTACTTGGACAGTCTTCTGCGTCATAGAAAAAACAGTCCTTTTCTTTTTCTCATCTACTTTACTAATATTACCAGGGAACTGGTTAGCCATTGAGGCCCAAACATTATACACTTCTGTGTTGTTGATAGATAATACTGCTATTGCCAATCCTCTCTGTCATGTAATCCATATTCCAGAGAGGATTGGCAATAGCAGTATTATCTATCAACAATTCACGTACAATGTTTAATTTCTTTTTGTCAAAACTGCCTTCCTTTGGAAATCGATTATCTGTCCATTCCTCTAAATTTTACAAAAAAGGTTCAACATAATAAAACCCCAATTTCATATGCATCCACTCCCTAGCTGACATCAGAGCAACAGGCTTAACTGGAACAGTGTTCCACTGGGGAGCATCTTTTAACAATTCTTTTATTGCTTTTCTTTCTTTTCTGGGCAAGTCAAGCTCAGATTTATTTTTGATCGTGCCCGGAGGCCCTTTCAATTTACTGGGCTGTGAACCCATTGTAAGGTAAAGGTACAATAATTAGTAAAACTAAGACTACGTGTTAGTATGTAAAGTGTCAAAACTGTTTAGTTCGTGTGATTATATACAATTCCTTAACTAGGATTTTCACGTTACCCAATGAAAAGCGAAGCTGTTATGGGTCGATATTACTTAATATGTAGATTTCCCTATACAACATCACACTACAACTGCCACTGAATAAATCAGGGCCGTCAAGCGGTCAGTCCGTTTAAACAGAGACAGAAGTACCTGTTAATGACTGAATCAGGGCCGTCATGTGGTCAGTCCATCAGACTATTAAACAGTAACAACAATAACACAACTGCATCATCCAATGACGTCTTCATATAAAAAAAAGCAGAAGTACCACTCTGCTAATGACTGTATTGGAACAGTCGAGCGGTCAGTCCGTCAGACACTTAGAAGTACCAATTCAACATATTCTCGTCATCCAATGGCATCTTTTACAAAACCCAGAGGTACCCTACTGCTGAAGTCTGAATCTGGGCCGTCGAGCGGTCAGTCCATCAGACTACCAGACAGTAGTACCTGTTACTTCAATATTTATTAACACGTCCTCCAAGGACTTCAGTATCTATTCTTGTCTCTCTGGCAACTATATTCACACTGTCCCTCTACTGCGAGTGGGCCCACTCTAATATTGATTGATATCGACACATCTCAGCAAGCAAATTTAGGGAACTATTAATATTTATCAAGTTAAATTCATTATCCATTCAGACTGTCAAAATCTTTTTTTAAAGCCAATTGTACAAGGGCTACTAGGCATCCCATAGCAGAGGTATCTTTTTTTAATGCTCAAATCAGGTAAGCAATACAATCACAAGTGGATTGAATAATTAAAGATGCTCATCTTTTTTGGGGGGATTAATCCTGTTCGTGACGCCAAATTGTAAGGATGCCTAGCCCAGGTTCACACTTGAAAGAATGGAAGGTCCACACGAATGGACAGTTTGACAAGCTTTACTGGTTGCAGATCTGGGTTACAGCTTCATCATACCACAAGTGTAATAAAGAGTGGTCTAAGACCATTCAAATAAATATGGCGGTCCATAACTCTAAGCATACTGTTGATATTTAGTTGACCCTTGGAGAAATCCATGTATGGTTAAAACAAAGGACAACATATTTTAAGAAGCCTTAGTTGAACATGTGGAGGGTCCCAAGAAGGAAATACCATGGCAAAACATATTTTGGGGACCGACATGATGTAAATAATGTGTACAGGGTTCTTCGGTCAGGGATGGTTGTCGGAGGCCCCCGGCTCCAGCAATCTAACACCAAAGTATCTGAGGTATTTGAGTGACACAGCTCCAACACTCTAAAGGCTAATATGACTGGCTAAAGAAACTCATCCTAACATGTATCCTGATAGTCAAGTTGAGGATGTTGGTGAAGTTGTATTGTTTCATTCTGCATTTCATTTTCCAAGGCCTCCTCCTGGTAAGGCCTCCTCATGCTGGAGCCTTTCAGTTACTTTGGTCTCTGATAGAACTTTGCTTGGACATGCGCAGCTCACTTTAAACCAAGCTTCCACATCCTGAACAAATCCTTCTTTGTGTTTGCAGATCCTTGCAAACCACTCATTTTGTCTCTTTTGTTCATCACTTGGAATTAAAGGCAACAGAGAGTCATGCAAAGAAGTTGCATTTTCAGACAGCTGCACAATTACATTGAGCTGTGATTTGACAAGTGAAACATTTTTCTCATTCTTCATAAGCTCTTTTATTGACAAAATCAAGCGTTTTATTTCATCCGCTTTCTTTTTGTAATCCTTTTGAATTGACTCAATTTTATTCCTAAAAGCCTTTTCCGTGAGGATTGGTTTTCTTTTCCCAACTTCTTTGCCACCAGCTGAACCAGTTCTTTCTGTACCACTCATTTTGAAAGCAAAACAAACTGTTCTCGGAGAAATTCAAAGCAAAGCCAGCAAAATCAACAACAACAGGTCGCAGCCTTCCACAGAAAGGTCATTACAATTCACAAGCCGACTGAGCGTTGTGCACCAAACCAGACATTAGCTGGGCCCTGCGGGCTCCAGACACAGCAGTCCACACACTGCACAAACCCCCACAACAGCAACAACCGACACACCAAAACAGCCGCAATTATTTCCACGCAGCAGTAACCCATTCAAACTGTCTCCAACAAGCCATTATAACAGCAAAACAAAACAGGTAACATACCGCTGGTCACAAAGCGAAGCTGCCAGGCCAGTGCACTCTCGTGCAGATGGTGTCTCGCTACCCCTTCTGAGCGTTGAGCTTGGCTCTTCAATAATCCACTCGCTTCATGAAGTGCGTCCAACGCGATCTGTGACTTGTGAAGTCCTTCTGTGGCTCAGGTCCGATGATTTGTCTCCTTTTTTGCTGACAAATTTGTATGGCGACTATCCAAAACAATTTAGCCGCCGAGAGGCTGAGTAGGGGAGTATGGTACCTTGCCCGACGCGCTGGCTGTATACACTTCAAAGCAGGCTATATCTCTATTTGTAGATTTATAAATGCAAAAGACAAAGTACTTAAATTAAACAGAAAAGGGCAGTTGTTCCAAAATCAGGCGAAATACAGGCGAAACATAGGCGGTCAGCAAAAAGTAGGGCTTCCCCATTCACCCCCTCTCCATTCATCAACAAAACCCGCCAGGTGAACAGCTGACTTACCACTACCGGTGCTGATGTACTACCTCCACCCACACCACGTGACACTCATCCCCGTATATAACCACAGAAAACACAAATATTATAAAAGATCATGGCTACCACAATAAACTGGCATGTACAGCAGGTGACTGGGCTAGCAGACTGGTGTGCAGGCACAGTGGTCGCACCTATGAGACCGGGAGGAGCACAATGCTCGACTCCGTTAAGTACTCAAAGCCTGGAAAAGCAAATGTTACACATTAGCAAATGTGAGTGTAGCGATTTGAATTCAGAATAAATGTCCAAAATTAATCAAATTAAATTATGACATTTATGCACTCGTTGAAGGGGCACCACCCACCTTTCTGGTGGGAAAAGGACGAGACAAAGTTCAATTGAGTAATCAAACGTTGAATCAGTCTTAAACAGATTTAAATCAGTCTCTCATCTGAGGCCGGAATTCTCCATTCAGGGACTCTACTTTCTGGAAAGACCACTAAGAGACGACAACTTAAAATTAAATGGACAATTTATTAACAAGCTATATGATAACAAAACTTCAATAAATGATGATCAAATAATGAGAAAATCAAGGAACATCTAATGAATAAACGAAGGGATGGTTTGAACTGAACCTAAGACTGGAGGTTAATAATAGTGAGTGAATAAGAGAAAATTTAACCTACGTTAGCGGAGTTACGAGGGTAAATTTTAAGAGGAATTTGGAGAACTAAACTATAACTAGGAAAGTAAGCTCCTGAACGGTTGACGGCATCACCCAGTTCACATCACAGCAGTTTCGAGGAGTTTGCCTACTTTGGATGTCGGTTCTCAGCGACACTCTTGGAATGGATCAGCTGAAGTTCTGTGGCTACCGGACCGGATGCTGAAGGCTCGGCGGGGAGTTCTCCGCCGTGAATGGTCTCAGGCTTCAGGACCGTGTCAGCACCGTTAGATACTTCAGTTCTCTTGGCCTCTCGGAACCAGGTGGCAAACGCAGCTCGGCAGATGATGCTGGTCGGTGTTCGGGGCGTTCAGGACTAGCTTGTTGCAGATTAATTCGCGCCAATAACTTAAGAGGGGTCATGTGGTTGATAAGCAACTTGTCTCCTTGAAGCGTGAAGATTCACTATCAGCCTTTTGGGAGAGCCCTTTGGTTCTGTCCTGGGTCGTAAACGGCCATAAGTTAAGTGTGAAAGGTTACCCCCATTTTCCTCCCCTAACCCAGGAAGCCTGCATTCCTTTGAGGGGTATATTAAAGTTGGACAGAGCAGAAAGCAGTCGTCTTGTTACATGAGCATCTCTAAGAGTGAAATGGTCTTCTTGGGTCATGTTATCTTAGCTGCTGGTATATGCCGAGACCCGAGGAAAACAGAGGCCAAGCTTCGTTGGCGTTGAAGGAGCCTTCAAGCATGAGTGTGGGAATAGCTAGTGATGTCACGAGATGTGCCGAGGCTTCGAAGCGTGTGTCGAGTAATGAAGGGGGCATTTCCGCAAAGCACGCATCGAGGCTTGCTTCATGTAGGGGTGGAGCCAAATATGATGATGTCCGAAGCCTTGCTGCCCGGCTGTACCACGTGACTAATTCAAGAAACGGTTCGCTGGTTTGGCAGATGATTTAACAGGCAGCAAAAAGCAATGGAGTCCTCCCCCACTCACAATCCATAGACTCAAGACTTGTTGAAAAGTTGTTTTTAAATAAAAAGAAATTAAATGTTTGTTTTTATATGTTGTCCCCATAACAAAAGTACAAACAACAAACTAAGTAACACAAGCACATTCACATCACAACCCTTTCCATAATTTATGTCCTCTTACCCTTTTGGACACTGCAACTTTGCCTTAAAGACAGACCCCATATGAATAACTTCATTTCTGTATAGTATCACAAACACATGGCATCACATCCATTCATTTATTCAATTCAAAGCTTTGTGCACCAAAGCCTCAGGGTGTCTTTAATAATCACTCTGCCTGTTTGACATTTATTGTCCACTTAAAGGCACAATAGGGCAAATGAAGCACAATTATGAAGC